TCATCAGCAGTAGGCAGCCACGACCCCGCCACATCAGGAATCGAAGTTCAGACCTTTAGGTTTCACAAAGAATCCGTTAATCATTCAGTCACTGAGTCTCAGTTCAATGGTTCACAGTTATCATCTCTTATCAGTTCGTGATATAGCGTGACTGTCACCTAAGATATTCCATCAGTTCCGCTTCCCTTCTGACTAGTTTACCCCACACGTCACGGCATCTCATTAGAACTTCAAGCTATCAATCTAATGTCTGTTTGTAATGAATACTACCTAAAAATTAAAATTCCAGGAATTGAGACAGTTGAATAAATGTATCTCAGTCCCCTATCACAAAATTATTGAAAGTAAAGGGGGATTTAAACTTATGGCTGGCTAGAACTTCGATAAATTTATACGCTAGACCTGCACTACTTGTATACAACACTTTAAAGGGTGTTTCTATGTTCATCTTATGACTAGTTTTGAATATTTCAAAACATTGAAAAAATTAGGAAATGAATTTGACATTCCTTTAAGGAGATCAGTTGTAAACATTATGTTATCCATTCTTAGTGATGAAATCAAATTTTTGCAGACATCTCCTTTGATAGAATGCATAAATTAGATTGAAGAATAAGCTCTATAACCTGACGAAAAATGCTCAGTATGATTTTCAATCAACACCATGAATTATGAAAAAAATTAAAAAAATAAAGTAAGATTAAGTTTTTTTTTCTGAATTCAACCATGAAGTAACTTGGTAAGTTGTATATTCCAGGATCTTCAGTAAATGTAGATATAGGTATTGAGTATACTTAACCATCGAATACTGAGCTATGACCCTTTAGCCTGATTTTAGATTATCAGTAACCTGTTTTTGAAGAACTCTGTAAGATCATCATATTATTAAATCGTTCAGTTTTAATTTGACTGAAGTCAAAAGTCTAAAGAAGGGAGACCTAAGTCAGTGCAAAAACTGGCGCGGAATCATGCACCTGTCTACATCAAGCAAAACATTAAGCTACATCATCCTAAAGAGACTAAAAACTGCTCTGGATTCAAAATGACGAACGCAACAGGCTGGCTGAATTCAGGAAGTACAAATCATGTGCGAACCGAGTCGCAACGCTACGCATCATCATAGAACAGAGGACAGAATGGTAGTCAACTCTTCACCTCAACTTCATTGTCTTTGAAAAGGCCTTCTACAGCGTCAACCGAGAAGTAATTTTGCAGGTAGCTGCTTCAACACTACGATTTTAGTGACACAAACCTTGATTAATCTCAGTCAACAGCTAATATACAGCTAAATATCGAGTGATTCACAATGGTAAGCTCAGTGACGCCTTTGAAGTTCGGACAAGAGTAAGACAATGTTGCCTACTCGACTGAACCATGCAGCAAACTGTGAGAAGCGAGAATATGGGCAAACGCTGGCCGTTTGACCGATGAAAAAACACTAGAACATTTGGATTTCACCGATGATGATGATGATTTATGTCTAATGTTTTGTCGCATAAACTCAAAGATCTACAAGCGAGAACTAACAAGTTTACAGAAGAGGCGAGGTAACGAAGACGGGACTTCCTTCAGGAGATAGTAGGGACAACAACAACAAGCACCAATCACCGTCAACGGGAGATATCTAAAATAAGTAGTCTCTTTCACCCACTTACTAGGCAGTAACATCTCAACTACGGGCGACACAGGCACTTATGAGGATATCAAGGCCAGCATCGGAAAGACAGCAAGACAGGCCTTCCTTCATTAATCTGAAATCACTGTGGAGGTCTACCGCAGTCCGCTGCATTGCACTCAACATAAAGCGAGAATAACATTCGGAGTTTCATCACTACTAATGCCTGTTAAGTTAGTGCTTCTACGTGATGGTTGGGAGACTTGGCGCGTTACGAAAAGCATTTCCAACAAACTACAGACGTATATAAACAGCTGTCACCCACACTCACTCGATACTAAAGATGGAGATCAGATGGCCAGAATAATGAAAATAAGCAAGGAGGAACTCTTGCAGCGAACCAACCAAGAACCCGTCGCCCAACAAATGTGCAGAAGAAAGTAGAGATGGATTAGGCATACACTGAGACGACCGTTTGAGGATATCATGCTCTATCCCAGGTTGTTGGATGGAACTCAGAAGGGAAACAAAGATTTGGGTGTTCAAGGAGAACATCGAGGAGATGGTGTGAGGAATAAATGTGTACTTCTCGGCGGTCATGGAGCCAAGCTGAGAAGACTAGGGAGAAGAGAGTGAAATGGTGACCTGCTGTTGAAGCCCTATGTCCCACTAGGAACCCAAGGAACAAATAATAATGATAATAATAATAATGTGTATTTTGCAATACTGTATCAAAGTTAAATCCTAACCTGAAAACCTAATGTCAGATTCACACTCATGAAAAGATTGCTCTTACTGAGATCAAAAAGTTGAGGAATGGTACAAAATATTTGTTTATTTTGTTAACATACTAAGCCAGAATTACACCAGTAAAATACACCTCATACTATGCTTACGATAGTGTTTTCATCTTTTTTTTTCGCCTTTTCCATTTTGTTCGTGTCACCTTTTTCATTGTTTGGTAACTCTCAACACATATCACTGAATGCAAGCATCTTAGCATCATTTCACTCAAATAAGTGGGGATGTTAGGAAACTACTGACAGACTTCAATCAACCTTACAAATCTGACAGTACCTAAAATGGTACCTATTCAATGAGAAAGGTCTGGTGTGTGCTACATTTTTTTATCAGTAAGTTGGTTACAAAAATGTATCTACACTGTGCAACTAAAAGTCAGAGTTCATCTGAACAATGGAGAATATTTGTAGCTCAGGTGGATAGTCTTCGTTGTATTGTGTTCTCTGAGGTGGGTTGTTTAATCGTGGAGAAGCTTTCATCGTCTCTCTAGACAGTGACATCATCACCACTAACTTCAGTATGAAGTGAGCTATCAATATCTTTCCGTGAGTGATTTAGTCGCTTGCTCTGACGATGTGGTCTATGATTGGTTGTTCCCTTTGACTGTTGTGTCATTGACTGACTGCATGGAGTTTCCTGTTGCCTGTTCTTCTGTTTAACCTCTGACCTTTCTGTCGTTTGTCATTTTTCTCATTGGTTGGTAGATCGGGTCTTTGTCTATACATCTGTTGACTGATTGGACAGAGTGGCCGCCCACCTTCGACTTCCTCTACATGAGCACCAATTGGCTATTAAACGTCACGACATTTCGTCACTCATTTCAATTCTTGTGCATAACAGCTATGGAAATGAATTCAATTTCGACAGTGTAGAAATTTTGGACAGAGGAAACACAAAAAATATCAGGGAAGTCCTAGAAGCTTGGCATTCAGATAAGTCAGTCAGCAATCAACAGATGTACGGACAAAGACCCAATCTACCAACCAATAAGAAAAATGACAAACGGCAGAAAGATCAGAGGTCAAACAGAGGAACAGTTAATAGGAATCTGCATGCAGTCAGTCAATGACACAACAGTCAAAGGGAACAACCAATCATAGACCACATCGTCAGAGCAAGCGACTAAATCACTCACGGAAAGATATTGATAGCTCACTTCATACTGAAGTTAGTGGTGATGATGTCACTGTCTAGAGAGACGATGAAAGCTTCTCCACGATTAAACAACCCAGCTCAGAGGACACTATACAACCAAGATCATCCGAACAATGTACGGTGTATTTGCGCAATACATTTAGAACAGTCTGATCACATATTTACCTGTCAAGTCAGTTTGTGTCAAACAGAAAGTGAATGGGAAAAAGAACAGAACATTTAAGATAATAAGGGATTGAAATTAAAAAAGATGAGAACAGACAGGAAGGGACTTGACTGATCCTAATTTTGATAAAAAGCAAAGTCTACCGAGATGTAGGTATAGTGTAAAAACAAATTGTTTTTGCACATATAAAGGTGGTTTCAATTTGTGTATAGCTATCGCTCCCTCAAATCTCAGTATACATTTCTGACTGTTTCTGTACAAGACTTTCAACTTTCAAAGACATCCCGTTGATGAGTCCTAAATAAGGCGAAACACGCGTGCTGGATTCTCCTACTAACCATAATCAAGCAAATTACCATAACTAAGAATCAGGCAACATCAAAGCATCCTCATAGGGGTAAAATAACGGAGACTTACAAGTATATCAATAGATAATAATAACTTTCAAAGCTGTTTGAACATTAATTTTGTGACCTGTTTCTACAATATGTTTAGTTATAGATGAAGAGGATCGTCTCTCACGAGGGTTTATCGGGGATTCATATTCTATTTGTTTTTGAAGTCAATTAGACACATGTTCTCCGACCCTAAATTGCATATTGCGAATACCCGCTCCGTACCTTCACCTGGTTAACTAGTTCACTAGTTACTAACCGGTCCTAAGCCCAGGCAAAAAGGGAAGGTTAGGCGAACGGCTAGCAAGCCCGTAAAACCAACCTACGTGCCAGGCCCTCGAGTGGAATCCAAAAGGGAAACGATCAGTTGAGCGTCCGATGCAAGGGTGACATGGAGGAGATCATGTGAGGAGGAAATGAAAGCTTGTTTGTAGTCGTGGCTCCAGGCTCAAAAAACTGCAGAGAACACAGTGCAATAGAAGCGTGCTGCTGAAGCCTTATGTCCCACTAGTAACCCAAGGGAAAAATAGTAATAATAATTATCTGCTCCCTATATATGTATGACCACACGCACATATGTTAAGTGGTAAATACAGCGGTATGTGACGTAATCACCGATGTAGTGTTTAGATTTATGGTGAAATGTGTGTTTTATCTTTTACACAATGATTAGATTAGCTGCATAATATGTTTTCTTATTGGCTGATGCTAGCCTACATCTCAAAATGACACTATTCAACTCCACTCTACATGGTAGAGTGATATGGATATGAATGTGGAAATGTATCTAATCCATGCATACACTAAATTTCTGATTATGAACATTAGATAGACGACAACAACAATAACAATTACTGCGATTACTTACCAACTCTCTGTCATCCAACACATCAACAACGCGATCATCCCAATCCAGTATGCCACCGTCACGAGCTAATGTCAGTGAATCTACTTCATACTCATTATCGTCAATATTTAACTTCCAGGATACATTTTTATTATCTATTTGTTGTAAATGACATTCTGTATCAGAGTGAGTTACTTTCCTTTGAATAGAGAGATTATATAGTTGGTCTGATTGATGTTGTTGTTCAGCTGTCTTTGATGAATTGCTTGTACATGATGCGTTACTTTGATCAGCATTTTTCGTCTGAAATGGGAAAATAGTTATTAGTAATTTAAGATGAAGATGAAAAAGAAAAAAACGGTTGCTTGTAAATGAGAAGTCGTGACCGGTGGAGTCAAAGCCTGATGGCCATGAGGACAGATACTCAGCGATTACATTGGGTGGCGGTTGCGTATTGGATTCTGACCCAGTGGCTCAATGGTAACGCGGTTGCCACGGAACCTGAAGGTCGCGGGTTGGATCCCTGCTGGTGGTGTCGTGGGTGCGCACTGCTGAGGAGTCCCATACTAGGACGAAACAGCTGTCCAGTGCTCCCAGGTTTCTTTTGTCCCTCCAACTGATGTCAGTCTACAATGAATAACAACTTGAAATTAAAGTGTGACTGATAGACTCATGAACTTAGCTCAACTTTACTCTATATACGAAAGGTTAACTTAGTCAGATGTTATCATTATTCTATCCATGTATATATACGCGTCAAAATATACTTTAAGTAACCAGTATGCATAAAGATTAGGTTATGTCTCCAAATAACTATCTGAGATAGACGTGAGTCAGGCTTTCATTCTGCCTTCACTTGTCAACCGGTATCAACAAGGTTGTGTTTTTTTCACCTATTGCTAATAGAAAGACCGTAAGATCATAAGTGAAATATCTATCAACGACTGATTCATGAGATTTATAAATGAAACCTGATGCTTCAATGATGCTATCACTAAGAATACTAGTGATAATATTTTGAATAAGTCGATGGCAATACTGCTTTCAAGTTGTTATTCATAGTAGACTGACATCAGTTGGAGGAATAAAGGAACTGGATAGTTGTTTCGTTCGACTAGTGTAGGACTCCTCAGCAGTGCGCACACATCACCCCACCTCACTCTTCCAGGAATCGAACCCATGACCCTCAGGTTCCGTGGACAGTACGTTACCATTCAGCCACTGAGTCAGAATCCTGTGATCCATATTTTCAACTTCTGTTAGCTCACTATATAGTGCAACCGCCACAGAAGTTGGAAATATGGAACATTGAATTCTGGCCCAGTGGCTAGCTCAATGGTAACGTGCTGACCACGGAACCTGGAGATCACGGGTTCGACCTCTGGCGGGGTCGTGGGTGCGCACTGCTGAGGAGTCCCATACTAGTCGAACGAAACAGCTGTCCAGTGTTCCCAGGTTTCTTTTGTTTCTCCACAAACTGATGTCAGTCTACAATGAATAACAACTAGAAATATTTCCAAATCCCCACAACTCCCTTAAAATTCAATACTGTTTTCATTGATTAGTCACTGGACTGCAGCCAGTTTCATGTTGTTTGAATAGAAACACTGAACGAATTCTTCAATTTTCTTGATTATTTCCATGAAATATGTAAAGTAAAAACCTGCTATACTTTATTTTACACTTCTACATATCCTAGATAGCTGTCGTAGTCACTAATTTCTATCTAATTTGATAATGTGTAACGATTTTGAAATGATGAAGAATATTTGTGGCTCAGAAGGATGATAGTCTAATCGTGAAGCTTTCACCGTCATTCTAGACAATATTATCAGCACGAACTTTATGAAAGAAGTGAGCTATGAGGTTTTCTCTAACATTTATTTGATAGCATCTTCTGATGGCCTGTTGGTCGCTAGTTAGAATCTCTCCATGTTCTCAATTTTTTATTTCACCTCTAATCATCATTTAGTATCAATAAAAGTCTTCCAAACTACGGTTCCTATCTCAGATAATCAAAATGATAGTGAAATAATGTAGGCACGAAAGGAAAGGTAAACACTTTACATCATGATGTGAAGCATTTCTGGTAGCTGTTGACAAACGCTAGTGAATTTACCCCCGACTACTGTCTGAAAACAAAGAAGGTGATAGTATCTGAATACTGAAAAAATAACAAAACATTCATTTTACTGGGTGCTTGTGGAATACTGTTTTGGTTAGATAGCTGTTCTTTGGCATATAGAGAATTTTTTACTTAAATCAGCTGAATATCGATGACTGTAGAGTAGGGTAGTCACTGAGGTAGGTGAAATCATGCAATTCAACAAATTGTTTTGCTAATGTTGGTTTCTCTGAGATGAATAGTTTAATCGTGAACGTTTTATTCTTATCATAGACAATATCCTCTGCACTAACTTCAGAAAGATGTGATCTATGAGGTTTTCTCCACAAGTGGCTTAGTAGCTTGTCTTGATGGCCTTGTATATGGTTGCCTGCTTCTGCCTAAGTCTTATCATTGTCTCCATATTTATTTCGATTGTTTCTTCTGATAACTTTAAATTTGACGTTCTTGATGTTTCTTATTGATTGATAGACTGGGTCAATGTCAATGTGTCTGTTGATCACTGACCAACCTGGATGCTAAACTTCTAAAATTTCTCTGGTATTCTCTAAATTTCCCATATTCATCCAGGATTTCATGTCAACAGTTGTCCATATGCATTGATATGAACGAAGATATATAGCGAAACTTCACTGCTAGTTGATGTTCAAGTAGATGGATACGAAGAGGGTTACCATTCTCTCCGACATACAGTGTTTTTTTTACAGTTTCTTCAGTTAATTTCATAGATAACATTTGGTTTATCTTCCTTTTGCAACAGTATCTTTAAGCCTGCATAAGAAAGAGTGTAGTGATTTTGTGTGCTTGTGAGTAGTAGCGATTTCGAAGGCGATCACGATTAAACCGTCCAGCTTAGAGAATACAATACCGTAAAAATACTACCTAATTATTTAGTTTCATGAGTAACTTCAAATTTGTAATTCTTTCAACTGATTACATGTCTCTTACAAGATGTTGAAAGAAAATTTTGTCACTCTTTTCGTAATGATAAGTTTGGAGCCGATTACCTCCAACCATTTAAAATCTATCTTAATGCATGGTGATGATGAGTCACCTATCTCGTTGGCTACGCCGCAAAATGTTAAGTAGAATTAGACAACATGAAATTGGTTACTCTGCAGTAACCAATGTCTAATCCATTCTACCAGGAAGTCAGTCATGACTCAAATGGCTTAGTAATAGCATCTCTGACCGTTGACAGTTGACATCATGAGTTAGTATACCAGGTGGAACATTATTTTCATTATAGCTACAAGTATATTTCTCTGACGATTGTTTGTAAGCGTGAAATCGAGATTAAACAAGGTTTTCTGCCTCCAACAAATTAATTACAATCTTCGTTTATAACATAAACACAGAGATGTAATAGTGTAGAACCATAGAAAAGGTGTACAGGTTCAGTTAGTCACAGTGTTATTACAGTCGTACACACAAAGAAAATCAAACGGCTTAAGATATTATTCAGTTCGAGAATAAAATTTCCCCACCAACGGAAATACAAAAGATAAACAATGTTGAAAAAATGTTTTTTCCTCCCTCTAATTTTCTACATTTTTAACATTTTGTGTGTTTGTAAATACCACCTCATTAAAATATCCATCAAACCGATGAACACCACATCACACTCATCTTGGTGGTTAGCGATGGAATCTAAAGTATGCATTTCGCCCCATTCAGGGCTCGTCAGCTGGATGTACCTGCAATCCAATGAGTGATGTTGTTCGCACTGAGACTTGAAGTCGGTGCTCGTTACTGTAGTTGATACTATAATTTCTTGTCACTATATAAGACTGAATTCCATAGTAATTGATACCTGTTGCACAAAGGGTGGTTCAAGTAGATTACGCTCTGACATTTAAAATAGTAGAAAGAACATCACTTACCGATGCGCAGGTATTTCCAGCTGACGAGTCCCAAATAGGACGAATTTCACATCTTCTTTACCACTACTAGTCGCCAAGATATGACGTTGTGAATACATTAAAAACTATTTTCAGAGTATGCTAACAATCTAGAATGAAATACGTGAGTAATCATTTTCTTAAAGCACTGATTAAGAGTACAACGCCTATAATATATATGAATAGTACCAAAAGTAAACTGAAACATTGAGAATGAAAACACGAGAAAAATTTCGGTCATCATGATAAATCAATAGAAAGTGATCAGAGTAATCTTTTTTGCCTCTATTTTCAAACAGTCAGGTCAAACCAATCAATACTTGTAATTAACATTATTAACCTCGCCTTGTTAACTAGTTCACTAGTTACTAGCAGGTCTTAAGCCGGGGTAAAGAGGGAAGGTTGGGCATAGGGCTAGCAACCCTAAACCCAATCCGGTCGCCAAAGAGACTTCAAAGCATAAACAAAATGTTTAAAAATAAACTTATTCATAGCTACAATCGGGAAGACGAAATGACCCTGGTTAGTGAAAGCCTTCGAGAAGCCAATTGGCCGATGTGTCCCCTCTCTCTCGATGAAAGCAAAAGTGAGGATGGGGACATGGAATGTTCGCACCATGTATGAACCTAGCAAGGCTTCCTAGATTGCCAAAGAGATGAAAAGATTTGGCATACAAGTGCTTGGAGTCTGCGAAAGTAGATGGAATGTAAGTGGACTCTCCCCAACTTTCAACTGCATAGTTAATAATCTACTTCAATATTGTCACCCAGACAACGACTACGAACACATGGAGGAAGTGGCTATCATGATGTCCCCTTTAAGAGCATCAAAGACTCTCATGCGAAAACCAACAAGTTGACAAAAGGGCAGAGAAAACGAAACTTTGGGTGAACGTAGAGAAGACACAAATGATGAAGGTACCTAACCAACAACAACAAACATCAATCACCATCAACAGAAGAAATTTAAAAAGAGTGGTCTCTTCCACCTACCTACCAAGGAGCAGCATCGTTTCAACTACAGGCAGTGGCACAGGCACAGATGATGATGATAAAGCCAGGATAAGAAAGACAGCAGGAGGGGCCATCCATCGTCAATCTTAAATCAATGAGGAGATCTACTGTACTACCTTCAGCATAAAGTGTGAACAAGACCCGGATTTTTAACACCATATCAGTCAAGTCAGAGTTTCTATATACTTCAGAAACTTCAGGCGTTACCAAGAGCATTAATTGTGATAATTCGGTTGATTGTGGCTACGAGAGGAACCCTCCTCC